ACAACCAGGATTTTTTGACATTAAACACAAATTTTCATATCTTGTCATTGGTCATCTACAACTTTCATGTACTTTATTAAAAATCATACTGATTCTACAAACAGGAACTCTAAGGATGATATTAAAAAGATAAGTTTTTATTGACAATATTTACGTAATCTTTGAAGACCAAGTGTTTCTACAATCTTTTCGACTCCGTGTCCCTGTATTAACAGACCTGTTTTTGTATTCTTATGGAGCAGAATTAATTCAGAACCTGCCATGACCTTAAATTCGAAATTTTGAAATATGTAAACGTCGTTTTATCAGTAACATGTAACAATCATTTTCATCCATATGTTTATTCAATATATCACATTGAACTCGACATAAAGACACCACAGATCTGATAAATCTGTTTGATATTAGGATGGATTTTTTATTTCAAGAGAAAGACATTAATGGCGAACTAACAAATAAACATCATGATAAACGTTATAACTTCAACCTTTCTTTCTTCATTTTCCCTAATTTCATTTTCACCTGCAAATGGGGATTTATGTCTTTCAATTGATTCGATACGACAGAGTATCTTCTGTGTACAAAGATTTCTAAAACAAGACAGGCTACTCACAATTAAGTTAATGATACAAGGGTATCAACAATACCGTTTAAAGTCAACATTTTCGCAAATTATATGGTAAGTTTCTCGTACAAATTTTTAGGTCATTATTTTCATACCAAATTGTCTACGTATTTTCCCATTTACCAGATGATGGCAAGGGGCGGGTGTAACGGTCGACAGGGGATATTTACTCCTCAATGGCACTTGATTCCACCTCTGATGTTTTCAGAGGTCCGTGCCTGCTCTGCTTATATTTTGTTTTGTTTTATTTGACTTTTGAGCATTTTTTCGTTACCTTCAATTTCATACAAGAAAAACACAAAGAGGAGTACAGTTTTCATGAAAGCAGCCAATAATAGTTATAGTTATAATAATTATATTATATTATATTATATTATATTATATTATATTATATTATATTATATTATATTATATTATATTATATTATATATATATATATATATATACACTGTATTCTTTATCTGTTTTAAAGCAGTTTCACAGCTGCGTGAACTCACCATGGATCGGGTACTCTTGGACGCTTACATTAAAAAAGAATTAGAGCTAGCTATATTTTCATATCGTGGTTCTTTGTGAAGATAAGTTAAAACCTAAAGAAATTCAAAGGTTATTCTACATTCTATTACACTAATTTAAATTTCATATTTTTTTCTATCCAATTCACGCTGAAATACTAGTAAGCGCATTATGCTTGAAACACATTGAATATTTAAAAGATATTTTTATCAGTACTGTGCTTTTTCAACTCAATCTAATTATTGGAAGACTTTTTTAAAAAATTTAAATACTTAAAGTGAAAAGCAAAAACTGCCTTTCCGAGGGATCTCCACCCCTCTGAAATTGAAAGAATTTTTAAGGTACATGTATAATGCGAATAAAAATATAGGTATCAGAAATAAAATGATATTTAAATCTCAAATAAATGATTATTAAACAAATGATAACAGAACAAGCATAATGATATTTATTTGACGTACAATCAAACAAATTATACTAATTTCAGAGTGTCCAGTAGATCTATCTGGACCCTGTTTTACAGAGAAACTTAAGAGTAAGACCAAATTCTACTTTAATTTCTTTTTTTTTTTTAATTCATAACGTTAATTTGATTGTGATTTTATGTGAATAAGAAGAATTCATTTATGTAATTTATATACATGTAAGTATAACCTCTTTTATTACATTGGCACATTTCTAGTGGTAAATTCTTTTGTAAAACAAGGCCCTGTTTCTATTTTGAATTAAAATCACTTCAATCCATGAAATAACCTTCGTTAATTGAACTTAATGAAAATTCAATTTCGGAATAAATCGGATGTTTCTACTTGGCCACCTACTGCACACTCATCAACGCGTGGAAAATTCATTGGTGCATCAATCCACAATTGTCAGGGCAGTCCAATACAAAAGATCGTATTTTGCACGGTTCAGTAGCAATAAAATCAAGAGTAACATAAATGGATAAAAAGTCGCGATTTGGCGCACCTGCACTGGAAGCGCCGAGATCTTATTATGAGATCACAGGTGAGAAAAGCGTTAGCGCACTTCTAATGGACAATTGTGTTTGTTTTCCTTGACTCATCCTATGGTTTTGCTGTTCGATTCGTTCGCTTTACGAGCTATAGAGCCGAAATTAGAAATTATCATCGACATAGAACTTGCAACTGACGTGTGATAAGCTGGAAGAATAAATCAGACATTGAGAGAAAATTGAGATTGGGAGATTGTTCTCGGTTTAAAAAGTCGGAATCGTCAAGTAGACATCAAAACGTTGGGCTCCCGTATCGCCTTGTCGCTGCACCGACTTTTCACCGGCGAGTTTTTAGTTCCGCTAGAGTTTCACGCGATTGTTAAACGCTATCTCTATACCTGTGCAAAAATTGTAACCAATATCAAGAAATAAAGGGGAAATATTAGTGAAAACGAGTCACAAGATAACGCCCTGCTCGACACAAATGAACGTTTAGGTCGCTCGATTTCATCACTTCTGCCGGGTATTACAGACCAGATATCATTAATGTCGCCAATAATTAAAAATTGTCTTCGCCTTTTTACCTCGGAAGATCCATAAAATTATAACATTTGAATGGACAACAAAAATGAAGAGAACCTCCCGAGCTTCTGGTTTTTTCACATCAGGGATTTTCAAAGGAGAACTTTTGTAACTTTCATCCATAAATGTAGAAAATTCGACTCCTTTCTTTGAATATGAAAATTTTATTTGATCAAATTAATCCTGAAATTATGAAACCAAATTAGACTTCAAATTATTATGGGTTTTGGAAGCCGAATAAATCAATCAAGATCCATTCCTTTGACTACAGAAAACAATAGTTTTTTTTCCTTGTTTTTATTATTTTGATGTTTATTCTTTTAGTTTCGAGCAGATTATTTTTTCTTTCGGAAAAAAATGGCCAGATGCAGGAATTACAAATAGTATTTCTGAGGCCAGCGTTCAAATACCGGGCAGCGATGAATTCCTATCAAGGAGGTTTTAAATGATAGATTCAACAATACTGCAATAGCGTTTAAACAAGAGATAACTCCTTCTTGGACCTTGGTGAACAATGAGGACCCATCAGGACTTCTCCTTGTTAACACTCTGAGCATTGCGTCGGTCAAAATTGTTCATTTCTGTCTTGCTGAGATTTAACACCAACTGACCACGCAAATTGTCATCGCGTGCTGGGAAAAGATAATTTGACCGCTTAAATTTGACAGTTTTACATGTAGATAATGAGATAGTCCACCAAACCTTCTTTTCATTTCAGATATTGTTTGAAGAAAAGGAACAAACAAACTAAAAGTAGGATAGTACTTCTAGTTAATTTGGATGCCTACCAAACTTTTTATAAACATTTTACTGATGTGCAATTTTACATTGACGTTCACGTGAAAATATGCAGGTAAAGTTCACAGTAGAAAAACGCAAAAAAAAAAAAAAAAAAAAAAAAAAAAAAAAAAAAAAAAAAAAAGACTATGGTTCATGCATCTCGCTTTATTGGAAGGAGACACTCCTATTGAGTCAACAATGTCAAAATTTTGAAAGTTAAAAATGACATTGCATGTTATGGGGAAAAATAAATCATACATGAAATCATAGACGTATATTTTGTTATTTTTCTTGTTTTCGAAAATGAAAGAACCATAGGTATTTCTTTGGAAGCGTTTAACTAAATAAATAATCTTTTTTTCTAAGAAATATAAGCATAGAAAATGTATACATTTATTAAATAAATCGACGGACCAATCAATGCATGAACAGTTACATGTAACTATAACTTATTTTTACTCCTTCTTGCTTTTTTAGGGATGACGTTATATCTTTTTAGAAAGAAATACATAATTAGATTTGAAATGTAAGTAGTTTGAAATTTGAACATGTAAGTCATTTAATTTTTAAGCTTATTTGTAAATTTGAAACATAAAATTATAAGCGAAGATGGAAGAAGAATAAAAAGGCTGTACAGTAATTTACTCCTTCTTCATAAAACTTAAAATCAGGGCAAGACAGAATGATTTAAGAAAGTTCAGCTGATTTTATCAAACTTCTCATAAAACGCTTGAACGCTGTTACACTATGTCTCGAAAACATAACCACATCAGGTTAATAATATCAAATTTTATTAACAAGCGTTTGGTATAAACATTATAAGACCCGGCACACGCCGGGAGAGTCACATTACAGAATATCAACCTGACAGAGATTCGCTTCACCTAAATCACGGAATAAAAAGAAAATCAAAAGCTATGCCACTACATAAAACAATAACAATACAATATCTCCCCTACAAAATCTAGGAAGTCTATCACAGAGCTACGTGTTGTTAGTGTAGTATTATAGTAACCATCTGGTATTGGGTCCAGAAGTCTTGCAAGGTCGTGTCAAAAATTGATCAAATATTTAGAGTAACACGAAATGCCACGTGCATTTTTCCCTTTAACGACAGTTCGTAGATGCTAACACATGGTATGTGATGCATAATTATAGACACAGAATTTTCTCTACAGTCTCTTAGTATGAATGAATAATTGATAATTTTTTCGTTAAAAATTTCTTTTAAAAATGGTGGGAAAATTCACATTGCAATATCCATTTCTGTTCAATTCTCGTTATTTAAAGTAAAAATAGTACAATTAAATCTGAAGTGAAAACATAAAGAAGTTTTACATTAATATAATATATAATGCTTAATTTTATAGCTTCGTGAATTTCAAACAAGGTTTATATTTTCAAATTCTAAAAAAAAAATATTCTAAAAACATGTAATTCTAAATTGTCTAAATTCATTTTTGGAAAAAAATTCCATATTTCCATATTGTAGAATACAATTTAAAAATTGAACTACTGGTCAACAAAAAATATTTTACCATCCTATATGTATGACGAGAACTTGTGCAGAAAATCTGCATTGGCAGACCCCAATAAATAATTAGAAAAAATATTCCTTTGACAACTCACAGGAGCTGAATGTCCGAAAAAGGCCGAACGGTTGCTGACCATAGAAGTCTGTCCGTTGTTTGCTAGAGGATAAATGCCCCCATTCCTCAACATCTGAGTACTAGCAGAGACATTCACGGCAGCAGGGGATGAGGAGGGGCCTGGAATCTGACTTCCATCATGGAGCTTTCGCATGTGCTTCTTCAAGTCGAAATTTCGGCAGAAACCTTTTCCACACATGTGACATGTGAATGGCTTTTTGTCATTATGGGTATGCATGTGGAAAGTCAGGTTGTATATCTGATGGAAAGCCTTGTTGCAAATGCTACATTTGTACTGCTTTTCCGTGCTGTGGGTAAGTTTATGGTTCTTGTAATTTCCTTTCTGATGAAAGCCTTTTCCACAGAACTCGCATTGAAATGGTTTGTAGCCCATATGAATTCGCATGTGTGTGTTGAGGGTAGAGCTCCTGTTAAAGGCTTTCCCGCATGTACTGCATTTGTGAGGCTTTTCCGAAGTATGGATAATTTTATGACGACATAGCGTACTTGCTTGTCGGAAGCCTTTCCCGCAAATTTTGCAGACGAAGGGCCGGGCGCCGGTGTGGACGGGCATATGCCGGGTGAGGTTGTAATGAGCATTGAACACTTTCCCACACTCTGGACATGTAAAAGTCTTGTTATTTTTTATCGCTGGTTTCTTCTGTTTGTTGTTCGAAACATTATCACTTTTTTCACTGTCTTTTTCTTGAGTTGATTGGTCAGTATATGATTTGATGTCGTCAATTACAACTGCCTCGTTCTTGGCCTCTGTCCTTCTTTTTAAAAAATCGCGTTGTTTTGCGTCTGACGTTGGACCATCGAAACTTTTACTTTTCAGAGAGTTGTGGTATCTGGAAACACCGGTAGATCTTAGCCATTCAAATGCATGGTCCCGCGAAGGCAGAGGGGACATTTGCTGCTGTAGCAGTGAATAATTTCGGAAAAGATACGCTTGGTACTCCTCCACCGACATTCTTCCATAAAGAAACGCGGGATGCACAACCGGACCGTATCCCAACATTGCGGCACTCTGTTCTTGGATTGTCCTCAGATAGTCCGTTTTTCTCTTTCTATAGGTAGTCCCACTTTCTATCCATTCGTCCTCTGCTCTATGCAGCATTGTTTGGGGTATTCTACGTTGTTGATCTGCGGAATGATTTTGTTTAGGTGTCCATGTCTTTTCTTTTGTGTCCCTGTGATTATTTTCGTTATGCTCATCATGAGCTGACGTTATTTCGGCATCTTTGGAGGCATTTTCTGTAGATGTCGTTTCTATCAAATTTTCTATAGAAAAGGACAATTTCGGTTTTCGGCAGGAATTTTCTTTTTCCGATCCCGGAGATATAGCTCCCTTATTGTCCATCTTAATCTGTAGACAAAAATTAATTGAAATAATTTTAATCAGCGATATTATAAAAGACAATAATTACAATTTTAAAAAAAACAAAACTAATTTCTGTAAATCTAAAACACCCAAGAGATTAAAAAAAAAATAATCCATGCAAGGAAAATGTCAGATTTCATAACTGAATTTTGCATTAAAATAAGATGAAGACAAAGAAGATAATAAAGAAAAAAATAATGCAAATTTAAGATTAAATCAGAAAAATTGATTCCTTCAAAAATTATTCTGAAATGTAAGGTACATTTCAAAGTAATAAAAAGAAATCTTACCTATTTGAAGATGTTTTAAAGTCCAGACGCAACAAATCTGTGTTTTTCAGGCAAATGACAGAGAAAAAGTGAAGTAATTCGGTATTTACTTGTCAACTTTAAATGTGCCCCAATAAGGTTATAGTATGCAAGTCAATAAATTCATTATTTCAAATACAATTTTTGCATGTCTTTAAGTAAAATTATCATTAACCAACGAAATTCATTGATTTTGATAGGTTAGCTCTCCTAATGGGCGACGGATGTTTTCCTTTAATTGACCAATCAAAAGCCACTTCTCATCTTGACTGCTAACCGCAGTCATTTTAATGGAGTTCATTAGCTATTGACGATCCACCCTCCACTGAAGAGCTAGGACAGTGATGAGGAAAAGAGGCGGGACTTGACAAGGATTACAGAAGAACCAGGCAAGTATGATTATCACGTCAGAATAAATACTATCCTTTAGATAATTCATTCAAGGGTGGTTCTGTCTTGTTAGCGAAGACTAAAAAACACGCAAAATGTCTCCAGAGAATTGGAGGGTACGGCTGTATGAAAAAATGAATTAACGTGATATAGCTACCTCTGGTTAAATAAAGGTTTTAATGAAAGACCACAAAGTTCCTGATCATCTTGAATTCAGAGTAAAATACCTCTATTAATAAGACATAAAACTGAGGAGCTGAAAGATGAATTTGGCAGGTGCGTATTGAATATTTTGCTTTATTTCCTCCAAAAATGACAGTATACAACATGAAACGTCAGTGTTCACAACGCAGAGCCCATTAAGAATATTTCACCAAGGAATTTAAGTTAAAAAAAAAAAAAAAAACATGACAATATTCTAATCCTTAAGAATATTGACAAATTTAGGATACACATACAAGGAAAGCTTTTTCTGCAACATCTATAAAACGATAACATTTTTCTCAAAGGAAACATTTTTGAAAAAGAATTTGATGCATAGTATTTTCATTATATTGTTTTGTTTATATCGCATATCTTTCAAAAGTCAGAATTTACTAACACGATTACTATGGTCATGCAAAGATCCAGCTCACCCAATTCAAATACGAAGAACTCTTACAGTTCAAAGTTCAAATACTCAATTTAAAGTGTTACATGACATGTTATATACATTAACACATGTTACAAAAAAGTATCTTGTCCTAAACGGCATATGAGGCATTATTATAATATAATATTTGTGACTGATTTATAACAAATAAAACTTGGTACCTTATTTAATTAGATGAAGTATAATTTTATGCAGACACATATGCATACATGTATCCTTCTATAAAAGATTAAAGGCATTGTTTTTGCAACATACATGTAACACTGGATTTCATTTTTCACAGATGATGGAGACCATTGAATGCTTAGTTTACTAATTCGGTGCTCTGAGTAAATGAAAAAAAAAAAAATGTTTGTGCTTTTGATTTCAGGACACTAGGTTCTCAGTGAACAATAATAAAATAACATTGATACATCAAATATAAAAATGATGTATTGTTAATTACTCTATCGAAAATTTGTTTTTTCTTACAATTTTTCTTTCTTTATTTTGAATTTAAAAAAATTGCGATCAATATTCAAAATTGAGAGAGAGAGAGAGATTCAACGTCTAAGAATGTTCACATTTTCTGGTCATGGTGACACTATATCTGTCCATATGCTGCAAAAATGTGCGAATTAAGTTACCAGAGAATCAACTTTCCATTCAAGAGGAGTGTAACTTAATAAACACTTGCCCACAAAAGACCGTATTGTTCATGCCACATTTGACCGAATCTCGTACATTGTCATTCGTATGCCCTCGGGAAGGTAGGAATCATCACAGTCAGTATCCTAATCGCCTTGTAGGAGATCAAGTCATTTATTAGCGATTTAAACGATTAAACGCGCTGTAAAAAGGCTAATAATGTAACGATGATCATTTTCTCACCCCTGTAAAAGCTAAAAGGGACAGTCGGATCGAAAGATGGTCTTTAAAATTCGTACAGAAACGCCGTGTATTCACGGCGGGTCAGTTTTGCAAAATGAAACAAGATTTTATCTCAAGTGTTCTGAAATTGAATAGTAGTACTTTGACAAATCACATGCCAGTATCAATAAAATGTTTTTGATGATCTGAGATGTTTTGGTGTCCCGTCTGTTAATAATTACCGCTGAAACTTGTCGCTTCTCGTTTGAAGTCGGCGATTATTTTTTATCCACCCTGTAGGCAAGATAAAATATACCTTGCTTCCAACGAAGCTGTGGATTAGTGAAGGCGCTTCGGTGCAATACTTTACATCAGTAAAATCGGCAAGGAGATTAAAATTAAGATGAGGCGAAAAGTCTACACTTGAATGACACTACCGTGTAATAGATACAATAACTAAAGAGAAAAAAAGACGGGGATTATGTTTAAAATGACCAGACAACTTTTTAAAAGTTAACAAGTGCTTCGAACATTCGTATAGGTCATTTCTGACATGTTATGCTTTGGTCAAAAAAGTTACAAACCAAAAAAATGTTACTATCAAATGGAAACTCTCTTAAGATCCTTTAAAACATTTTTAACATCATGGTATAGAAATCAACTCCAGATAAAGTTTTGATAAATTTTATTGAACTACTAAATAGACAAAAATACAATTTTAAAGAATTGACAAGATTTCGTTCCAATTGAAAATATGAAGTTATAACTCTAAAACAACATCTTGTTAATCTCTCCTTAGGTGCGGTTAGTTGGAAATTCACCATGATTTTCATATATATATTCGAAAAGTAATGAAAATACCAATACGTGTAACTGTATCTAAAACAAAATCGATCACTGTCACACCAAAAGACAAGAAAAATATCTGACGAAAGGTTATAATTTCTAAAAAAGAAAAAAAAAATTGCACACGGATTAAATTTCATGCTTTAAGAAAGTGTGAGCAACCAATAAGGAGGTGTGCAAAATCATACAGAATGATTTTAGACAATAAAAATTTATCATATGATATAGCAACTTAATTTTTTTTTTGCGATTTGAAAAGAAAAATTGTAGCATGTATATGTTCATTGTCAATAAGATATAATTTAAGCCATTAGATATGCTGTTGTGCCTTGAGAAAGACAAATTTGTTAACTTGAAAATATCTATATTCTTCAGACTTAAAAATTTCCCACGATACTATTTTTCCATGAGAATATTCGTAAATTAATGGCGTTCATTTAACAAGTGAAGGACCGACATTCTATCTTACGTAAATACAATTTAATGAAAAATCAAACAATTTATTTGCACATCGTTCTTTTCTTAATCATGCATTTGAAAATATTTGCATGATTATTGTTATAAGTAGTGATGGTTGCTCATTCAAACAACATCGTCATTTTCAATTGTTGTAATCACGTTCCCGATCGCCTTTTCTCCGAGTCCGATTAAAATTGTAACCCTATTTACAACATTTACTATTTACACACCTTTAATTGAGTAACGTAGAGAGGATTGCACTAGTCAGATCTTAACACCTGTTCATAAAGAGCATATTATTAGCTTTGTAAAATCATTTAAAAGATTCTTCTCCATGTATAATAATTTGACACCTTGGAAAAACTTGAAAGTTTGTCAATCTTGGGGACAATATCACTATATAAAATATTCATCGACAACAAATGTCCAAATTAATCGAGTTACCAGCACATTGGTGTTTATTAGAAATTTTATGCACCGAAATATAAGTGCTGACTCTTCGTGGAGTTAACTTGGATGGCAACTGGTAAACATTTATAAAGTGGCCACTCCATAGTTGATATTCTTTCTACAATTTACCTTGCCTTTCAAAGGCATCCCCTTCCAAAATAAATAAATAAATAAAAGACAAACTATTATATTTAAATTTGCAAATGTTTCTTTTGAACAAGGCGTATTTTAGCTTGTATATTAACAGGTTCGACACCATAAATTTATTGTTAAATCATAAAAACTTCACATTGACGTCATAAGTGGTCGACGTATTCAACATATTCAATTTATACCGTAGATGTTTGATATATATATTTGTAAATTAAATTTCATGAGTTTAGAACTACATGTGTATATTACGCAAATATTTGTTATAAATCAGTCACAAATATAAATATAAGTAATATGGTTTCATTTTTAAGCATTTTTCAGGATGTACACTGTAAATACAGGTTGGTATGTGATGAAATCTACCATAAATCCCTTTGGGCTTCATACGATTTGAACACGTGGCCAACCGTATTTACATCCCGATAAAGTTTATAAATGATACCTTATTCCTCAAATAAAATAGCTTCTATTTTCTGTTTTACCAAAAAATCCTATAACGACTTCCGAGAAGACTAGTAATGAATCTTTTAAAAGCAATTGTGACATGTTCCCTGAAAGAAATGTGGTTTTACCATGTGCTGGGGACAGAGTAAAATTAAAGGGGCGTGGCTCGTCAATGTTCCTGTCATCTTTGCAGGTGTTATAGAATAATGAACCACTTTATGATAAACTACTCAAGTTTGATATATGTTCAATAAAAAGGGGTACTCTAAGCTCACTGGGTGCTAATAAGTGATATAAGTATTTATCATCAGGAAACCCAGAGTCAACAAATGAACGCTTCGTAATTATATGCTCTTTTATGCTTAACTCAGTATGGTGTTGGTATAAAAAGAAATATTTCAATTGTATCAAAAAGCCAAAAAGTACCC